GGTACGTTTTACGTCCCAAAACCACGATATGACTATGAGAGAGGCCGTACAAGAGGGCTCCGGTAAATTTCGACAGTACACGGTCGCCTCTATTATTTCGTGTCCATCGAAATGCGACCGCCGCAGCCGGAGTCGAACCCGCAACCTTAGAGTCAGCAGCCGAGTACTACTGATCCACCTAGGTGGACATGTGTGTGTATGTGCTTGTGTGTGGTGGAGAAGATAGAAGTTGCGCAGAGAAGGGCACGTCTAAGGGGTCGTTTTGCTCTGTTTAGACATAACGTTAATTGGAACTAACAGACAAGAAAGCCGTGGTTTAAAATCGTCACGTAAAATGTTACAAGACCGGACGAGTGTTGTCTTTATTTGTGCCCGTGTTAGCACGGCCACGTCTTTCAACACGGATTCCTACAACCCATAGCTGCGCTCTCTGTTATGCGAAGATGAGAACACACACTATAGACAATGCGATTACACTCCACACGGTTTATCAATCGGACCTTGCGATCCAATCGCTTATCGCACGTGGGCTTATTAATTTCGACGATTACTTCGATAGCCATTGTCACAAGGGCTGTCAAATGTTGCTTTCATTCGTACGAATCATGCCGCTCCACGAGGGCAACGTTTTGGCGTAATCGAAGATATATCACTGCGATGCACAGCCGTTAAGTCGGTTCACTTACGCGAAGCACGCACGGTGACGTGCAAGCTAAAAATCGCGTGACAAGAGGGCGGACGTTGATGTCACGTGAATACACTGTATACAGACCCTTATTGAGGCGACGCAGGCGACTCTGTGCTTTTGTGACACCGCCTTCCAGGAGCGTACAGTTCATTGTTTTCTCCTCCTGATAATACCATGACAGCATTGTTTTGCGTATGGATATTTCCTTTATTCATTGCTCGAGGGGGCGGAGGCGAATCCAACTGCTACGGCAGCTGCATTTTGATGAAGGCGATTTGCAAATAACACGTGCTCATTGATTTAGGTGTGTAATAAAGAACACCAGGTGGTCTAAATTTAGTTCTAAGTCTCCCACTAGCGCGTGCCTCATTATCATATCGTGAATTTGGCACAAAAAACACCGGATAACATTCATTCATTCATTCGTTCATTCGTTCGTTCATTCATGTTGAATTCGAAGCACAGCTCATGTCAAAGACACGAAATTTTCGCGGAAATTTTACCGACTTATACATCGCAGTTTGATGCCGCAGTGCCTCAATGAACCCATGCGTATACAGCACTAATTTCTAATAATTCAATACCGTGTTTATCACCGCTAATTTACAGCAGCAAGACGTAGTTACACAATACAACATCATGCCAAATCGAAAAGACGTGCGCGATCGCAAATTTCGTACAATCTTCAGACTCACGTGTTGTGTTCAGTCCTGCGCAAAGGCCTTATTCGACGAGCCCTCTTGCCCCGCCGCAGTGGTCTAGTGGCTAAGGTACTCGGCTGCTGACCCGCAGGTCGCGGGATCGAATCCCGGCGGCTGCATTTTCGATGGAGGCGGAAAGGTTGTGGGCCCGTGGGCTCAGATTTGGGTGCACGTTAGAGAACCCCAGGTGATCTAAATTTCCGGAGCCCTCCACTACGGCGTCTCTCGTAATCATATAGTGGTTTTGGGACGTTAAACTCCACATATCAATCATCGACGGGCCCTTTTCACACCGGAACATTGGCTGTGTGCGCTTGCTTGCACGGTAATCCCGCACTCATGGCCGCTCCCGTGACCAAATCATTTCCAAATTGGCGTCCTCGGTGCAGTCGACAGCCATTTCAGTGCTTGCCTTTTAAGAAACTGAAGTATGGGCCTGTATTCCATACTTTGCGGGTAGCAAGTGCGATCTGAAATTGCCATATGTTTGCGCAAGGGCACTTTTTTGACGGGCCGTGAACTGTAGGTGCAACCATGTTATGCAACATGTTTTTATTGATTGTGATAGCTGACGCGGAGGAGAATAAGTGGGGAGAGTATAAAAATATCAAAAATGTGTTTCTTTTTAATCGTCGTCAGACGTTACCCTTGCATGCTCTTTCCTCGTAGTTAGCGCGATTATATCTTTTTTTATTGAAAAGTGTTATGCATATGAAATTTAACAGTTTTATATTCAAGCATGCTGAGAAAGTAATGCGGAAATGTCACCGCTTTGTCGTTGGTTACTTTTGAAATAAAGGCCTGCAAACTAGGAAAAAAAACGTTTTTATGTCAAATTTGAAATTTTTCATTTAAAAATGTACAATATGCATAGAATCGAAATATAATTGAACGTAAACGAAAGTACGCCTATATTTAGCTAAACGAATTTGAAGTACCAGAATAATATATTTCGTGTAATTCATCGCCAAAATTCGAAAAAGAAACAACAAAGGAGCAGGCAAGCGTGGCACTCCAACACTTCGTCATTATTGATTTACTGCGCTTCAAAAATTTTTTTCCAGCAATACCAATCGCGGATATTTTCTTTCCACTCATCAGGCAAAAAAACAATATCACAAAGTTTTGAGAGAAATTTAAGAGGTCGACCAGCCATTCGATCTTACGTGGACTCACCCAGATAACTAACTCGCGAGGCTACTTAATACATTGCGGCGATGACATGCTAAAGGGAAGGGCACGTGATATCTCGCGGAGTTCGAGATAGCAACGGCATTCTCCGATAAACTCGCATGTGATGTGCGCCGGCAACCGAAACGATAAGGCGCGTGCTAGCGCGGCCGTTTCGCATACGGGACGAGGATTGCCGAAAAGGACTTGTTTTTGGGCTATAGTTGGTGCATACTTGGTGCAGAAGACTGAGACGCAAAACACATAACGTGAAGCAGGAAGAGCAGGAGAGAAGAGAGAACAGCGCCAACTACTTTTAGGTCTTCTCTCCTGCTCTTCCTGCATCACGTTTTGTTTTTTGCGCCTCAGTCTTCTGCACCGAGGGTTGCCCCTTCGCGAAGAAAGGACCGCGTACGCAACACCCTTTTAAGGAGCGATGTCCTCGAGAACGAAGGTTGCTCATGGGCACGCTCTGAGTATAGACGCAACGTCGTGGACGTATTTCTGCCGTGCACAAAAAGAAATCGCAGCAAGTCCACCGAGTGAATCATGATGAGTGGGGCGAAGCGTCTGTCCGTCCGTTCGTGCGTGCGTGCGTCCGTCGTTCGTGAACGCGTCCGTGTGTCCGTCCGTACCAACGATCCGCCACGTACGGGGACGATCCAGGAGACAGAGAGGCACTGCACCTAAAACCCCTATACCTTCGGAAAAGTACAGCGTTCTTTTGACAGACGGACGGCAAAAACTTTATTTAAAAAATAAAAAAAGGATCCCTGCAGGGTTACCGGCCCGGGCTCAGGCCACCCCGACGTTTTGTGCGGTGAGGCGTTGCCTTTCCGCCGCTGTCCGGGCCCGCTGGATTGCCCACAGTTGGTCGTGCAGATGAGAGCTAGTCAGCGCACTTAGCCAACGCTCCTCAAGAAGGTCCGATTTTATATTGTCCTTTCGGTATATGCGTCGCTGCCTCCTCTCACCGGCTCGAAAGCAAACTCCAAGCTCGTGGCGCTTTACAGGGGGCGCCACTGTCTCAAGCGAAAGAAAAACAGAAACGCCGGAAAGGAGGCGGCGAGGGGGAGAGCAGATGGCGGTACTTTTACGAAGTATAGGGGTTTTAAGCGTACCCAGGCACAACCCGCACCGCAACCAATCGGAGAGTAGCGGTACAGCGCCATCTAGAATGTCCTCACTCAACTGCAGTTTGTATGTACTCTATGAGACAGCGCCGCCTATTATACTGTTCGGGAGACACTGCCATCTTTTTTTCTCGTCTGTTCCTCTCTCGGTTACGCCTTACGCAGGACACGGTTAGACTAAATGGAGCATCGCCCCTAAAACGTTTGAGATTAAATGTAGCTACACCCTTTAGGGCGCATTTCTGACACACTTATGATTCACTTCAAGGAATCGAGTGAAGAGGGTGTATTTTTCTCACACGTACAACAATCGTCATCTACCTTGCCTTCCTGGCCCCGCCAGACTGCTAAACCGAAGGTCGCGGAATCGAATTCCAGTGGCGGTGACTGTCAATGGAGGCGATAATTTTGCATTTGGGTGCCCGTTAAAGAATCCCGGGTGGTCGAAATTTCTGGAGCCCTCCAGTACGGCGTCTCTTATAATAAAACAATATAGTTGTCTTGGGACGTTAAACGCCACATAATATTGTTATCTTGCGTTCATTTCTTTGCATTATCGGTGGGCGCCTGGCACTTCCATGTCACGGTCGACATGCGCGATATCAGTGTGATAGCCTTATTGATAGGAAAGTGGCCAGTGCCGAGTTTTTAGGAAAAGAAGCGCAGGCAAGCCGGATGACGATTATTGTTGTGCGTGAAGAAAAAGACACCCTTTTTACTTGATCACAGTTTAGAGTGAATTGTCTTGTGGTCCTTTTGTGGAAAACTTCGCGCTCGTTGCTGTCATACCCTGCATGACTTTCCGCATAAAAGCCACGTATTCGAAGAAAATAAAGAAAAAGTGCTCAAGGTCACAAGGCGCACGTGACGTATTTTCTTTGCCCCTGCCATCCTCCGCTGCTTAGTCTCCAGCACTTTGGCCGTGACGAGAGAAGGGAAAACGCGATTGCAGCATGCGACAATTCTTTGTAACTCCACTCGTACTGGACGGCTTTTGAAAATTTTTGCAGCGTTGAATTTGTGAGGCTTTTTTGGTGAATCCACTCTTTGGTTAGTTGAAAAGTCGTTTCAGGGTCCCTTTAATGTTATTTCCGTCATTTTACGTTCCATTGCACGCCACGTGACGCCCTTGTTTTTATCTAGCAGCTTTGTTATCGTGACAATAGTCGGATAACGTGGCAGCTACAACAAAGGAGCTACAAATAAACTTTGTATCATTTGGCCTATTACCGCTGTTGCCGAGTCTCCCTCTATCTTTTTTGTGAGCGGAAGACGCCCACACGCACATGCGTGCGCACGTATACATACCTGAAGCCAGATGATGAGTGGCGCCGCCTGGTATTCGGGGGTGTCGGCGAACATGAGCCACCAGAACATGTACGCGTGCTCGCGCACCTTGACGTAGCTCCACGCCTCGCGTATCTCCGCGAGACATCCCGTCGGCCCCTGCGGCTGGCCACCCAACAGCACTGCGCATGCGCGGAGAAACGACGTCAACAGAGGCTGCATGGATTACACATGAGGTAGTCAGCAGTACACGCAGAAAACGATACCGAAACAAGCCAATGGGCACACAGTGTTGTCGTTGAAACCTACGGTGGTTCAAAAAGGTCATGAAACGGCCGCTTTACTATCATAGAGTTTCCTAAAATTAACTACAAGGGACTCAGGCGCTGCGATCATTCAGCGACCATGGGAATGATGGGTAGTACGCACATTTGCCTAGTCTTCGTACTTGCGGGCGACGAATCTTACTTGCGGCTTCGTTTATTGCTGTGTTTCGGTTTTGTTTTGAAAGAAAGATTCAACCCTTTTGAACTTCGTGACCCAATTTGGAAAGGTAAGTCTAAAAGAATAGGGTGGTGAAGCGCAACCGCTGATCATTTGCTCATTTTTCTTTCGTGAGAACACAGCTTCAAGCCACAAAAAACGCACACGGAGCCAAAAGCAGACCACAAGTGCGAAGTTTAGACAAATGTGTGTACTACCCGTCATTCCCATACTCGCCGAAGCACCGTGCGTTGCAGCTCCCATAAATACTAGCGCCAGAGTTCCCTCTATAGTGTATATTAGTAAACTCTATGCTTACTATAACAATGCGGCGCCATCGGCAACCACATGCGCTAACTGTGTCATCTGCCCGAGTGGACCTGCACAGACGCTTTGCCTATCGAGGAACGCGGAACTCTGTGGCATATCGAGCACGCGCAAGAGGCGCTCATCGGCGTCTGCCACAAGCGATCCGCGTGCCACAAGGACGCTGCTTAATATGAGGTCAGAGTTTAAGTTAGCGCCAATTGCGTACTACAAAGACGCTGATGAGTGTCCCAGCTGCACGCACTCGCGAGTACCGAAGAGTTCCGCGTTCCTCAATAGGCAAAGCATAACTTATGATGACGTCACCTAGTTAGTGCCTGTGGATGCCGGTGGCTTCGCATTGTCGCTTTAGAGCGATCATTTCACGACCCCTTTAAAGGCTAATAATACTATTTTTTTGTTGAAGGACGTTTGAGCTTCGCCTTCGAGAACAGCTATAAGCTCCTCCCTCGGAACGCTGGCGCGCCTGTCATTCGTCCCTGCAAAGAGATAATATATTGATAATAAAATGTAGGGTTTAACGTCCCAGAACCACCATATGATTATGAAAGACGCCGAAGTGGAGGTCTCCGGAAATTCCGACCACTAGGGGACGTGCACCAAAATCTGAGCACACGGTCCTACACTAAACCAGCTCAGAGGAGGAGTAACGTCAAGTTTAGTCCCCAAAATCGTGTTGTTAGTGCACCAAAAGACCAACTGTGGTGAATTGCGCGTCGTGTGCGAATTTGGAGGACTAACGTGAGGACGAACGGCTCGGGTGGCGGTTGAAAAGACCCTTTTTCTGCAGCCCTTGTTGGTTGCACGGGTCAGCAGCCTTTCAACGGTGCGTATCTCGGTCAGGTGCACCCCGTTGTTCAGAAACACGCCTTTCTACTTCGTCGGGGTGTGGTGATTGCACCCGGCGGGAGAAAAATACAGCAAATGCATGTTCAGGGGTTCACTAAACTCATATGACAAGGCTCGTCTGCCTACTTACAGTTACGATGAAAGAATATGAAGAGAGAAAATGTTAAATTGTCGGGGGTTAATACTGAGCCGTCCATTGTAAGTATTTGAAACGTATAGTTCAACAAGCTTCACAATTCTGACGGACGTTTCAGCGCGTATATTGTGTATCCATCCGCGCCGCACTTCGGAGTCGCTCAGCGCATTCAGGAGTGCGACTCGTGTTCGCCACTCGTCACGATCTGTTTCGCTCCGATTCCACGGAAGGCGAGTAGCTGTGAAGAACATACTTCGCTGCATGTGCTGCGTTGCATGGGCTGCAATTGAATACAATTCGAATGGTTCTCTCTAACAGCAAGACAACTGTTTTCAAGGGTCGCCCAGATTTCTGCAACTCTTTTCATTTCAAGCAAATACGCACGAAATTGAACAAAGTAGCACTATCGGTACCGTTAACCGACTAGCAATACCACAGTTATATGTAAGCTGACGCACAATGGCGACTACAGCCTTCTAGGTGTCTTTACCTACGCATTTTTATAGCGAGGGTACATGCAGTGCAAACACATCACATTCCTGATAGCATTGTTCCGAAGTCACCGCACAGAGCATCTCCGACACGCGTTTCTCACTGTTCATCGGATGCGGGTTCGAATCCCGGCTGCGGCGGCTGCATTTCCGATGGAGGCGGAAATGTTGTAGGCCCGTGTGCTCAGATTTGGGTGCACGTTAAAGAACCCGAGGTGGTCTAAATTTCCGGAGCCCTCCACTACGGCGTCTCTCATAATCATATAGTGGTTTTGGGACTTTAAACCCCACATATCAACTGTTCATCGGATGATACGAACGCTTCTGCAACATACGACGATCTTATTAGGCTTTTGCATTTATGTATTTATTTTAACCCATTTCGTTACAACCTCCTCGACAATTAGCCAGAACTTATCAGATTGACGAGCCGCCTGGTTCGGGCACTCTAATGTTTATTTGTTTTCCATGTTGTTCTTTCGTTTGCGGTATCAGGAATCGGGCTATACATCTGGTCATATACCATCTGGCGTAATGTCATCGTCGTATTATAAGTGTTTTCGTTTTCGCCTTGCTTCATCTACCACGTGTCACTAAGCACACTGTACCACTGGGCCCAGTGGTACACGAACAAATCTGTGCCACTAAGTATACAGAGGTGATGTTACCGTTTAGTTCAACGGTACGTAAGTGAACCAGTACAGTACACCTGAGTGTTGAGATCAGTGGTATATGAAAGCAACCTGTGCCACTGAGTGTACCGCTTAGTTCAGTTTTACATCGACCAATCCTCCACAGCTGAGTGTAGCCTGAGCTGAGTGGTACATGAACCAACCAGTGCCACTGAGTGTACCACTGTGCTGAGTGGTAAATGATCTGTGCAACTAATTTGTGAAACTGTCCGTGCAGAGTGTACCGCTCGGTTCAGCGGTAGATAAACCAATCCTCTACAACTGAGTGTACCCTGAGCTCAGCTGTGCGTACATGAACCGACCTGTGCCACTGAGTGTACAAAGTGTACCAAAGAGCTCAAATGGTAGATGAAACTGTGAAAATGAGTGTACCACTGAGTGGTACACTAAACGAGTCGATAGTCGAAACGCTCGTAATACGATAAAGACATTGCACCACACTGTCACGATTAGCGACAACTGAAAACGAAAGAATGCTAGCGCGTTTCCGAACTCATTAGCATGTTTAAATGTGCACGCACTATAGTTGCGGCCGACCAATTACAGTATTCCACTCAGTCAAATGCAGTCAAAATTCAGCTTCGAACGTCAAACGATCTGCAGTATATACACCGAGGGACCAAGTTTATGCCGCATTTAATTTGCCAGCATTATCAACCAGTCTTGAAGTTCTCGTGTAGCGTATGCTTTTTTATTGGTGTTTATGTGGCACTAACGGCGAGATTTATCGCAAATGAAGCTGGAATTCGTTGCATAGGCAATCGTTAAACAAACGAAACGCGTACTCACGTAATGCGACGCAGAGGCCCGCGGCAGTGGTTGCGAGTGTAGGACGCATTTTGTCTCTACCCGGGCAAGGCAGTAAGCGGCCGACGGTTTGACGCGAGCGATGAGCGACTCCGCGCGATAATATCCGGGCTCCTTTTATGAAATCGCGCCTAGGTCTGCTAGCTCACTGGCGCCTGCTGAAACAGCGTTATCACGTAGCGCGCGCGACTATCGTATGTACGCACAACAACCGACCGCGCCGACGGTGTTACTGTTTCGCTTTTGAACTTCGCCCGCGCCGACTTCGAACTTGTAGCTCGCATGTTGTAGCAGTACTATGAGATGCGTAGAGTGTGGCGGCAGTGACGTAACAGTTTCGAATACGGGGTATAAAAGCTTTCTCCGTGGTTTTGGTTTCGAAGCTCTGAGTACCCAAAAGCATGTCCTTCGAGACAAGCTTTTAGTGCTCTTTTTAAAGAAAAGAGCAAAGCATAGAGGAACAAGTAATGCCGTGGAAGTCACGGTATTTTATGCTGCTGCCTGCTTTTATATAAGATGTGACAAATTATAGTTCATTTTTTGCGCAAAAAAGTGCACCAAATTTGTTAGTAAGTGCACCAGCATCACCTCAGAGAATTATGCCACGTTACACTCTAACCTTCCATACAATTGTATGAAACTCAATAACTCTAACATTCAGAACAGTTTGTAGTAATTATTTTTTAAAAAATTTGTTTTTAAATGAAAATTTTTTTGATAATTACTGGTTTAAATTTATAAAACGCTTTGTTTTTGTTAAAAAAAAAAAAGTTGCCGCACTTGGCTAGATTTAGAGAAAATATTTTACCAGCTGGCTTTCACGTTGACTTCAAACGCGCCAAAGCCAGCCAGCCAACTCAATCCGGGATCGATTCTAGGAGGTGTGCAGCAAAGTCAGGTGCCTTTCGTACGACCTTTCAAGGGTAAGCGCTTAGGTTACGTTTACTTCGCGCACTAGTAAGTAGTGATTATCGGTAGTATCTCCATCTAAGAGCAACTGAAACGATCTATTTTCTAACTAACGCCCCTAGAAATTTCCGCACTAGTAGTCGTCGGGTTAGGCTTCAGGCAGTCTATCGCCGGCAGTGTTTTTTTGCAGTTTCAGGGTCAGCTTTGAGGGTATTTTAACTCGACATGTGTTGACTGCGCTTAACTTCGAGTTTTTGAGCTGGTATCGCGCCTTTAGTTACGGATGGATTGCGGCGTGAACTTTGACTTGCGTGCGCGAGCGTGTAATCTCGTTTCATTGCAGGAGCCCTGCGAGAGGAGCAGCATGTCTGAGAAATTCGAGCTGCACACCGTTCCCTTTGACCCCAGGTTCCCGAACACCAATCAAACGAGGTCAGTGTGCTCTGAACACCCTTCTGTGGTCGTCGTTATCTTCTCGCCGCGTTCTAGTTACTGGTTGGAGCTTGGTAATCACGTGAAAGCACGCCACATGAAACTACTGAAACTGGCGTATCGACAAATTGCAAACTGTAGGGACCTGGATAGCCTCCACGTTCCAGATTTCGTGGCTTAATGCGGCGTTCGCCAGATCGAGGCAAGAGCCAACGTTGCTTTTGAAGCATCATACGCGAACTATACGATATAAACTTTGCGGTGGCCCCGCCGCGGTGGTCTAGTGGCTAAGGTACTCGGCTGCTGACCCGCAGGTCGCGGGATCGAATCCCGGCTGCAGCGGCTGCATTTCCGACGGAGGCGCAAATGTTGTAGGCCCGTGTGCTCAGATTTGGGTGCACGTTAAAGAAGCCCAGGTGGTCGAAATTTCCGGAGCCCTCCACTACGGCGTCTCTCATAATCATATGGTGGTTTTGGGACGTTAAACCCCACATATCAATCTATCAAACTTTGCGGTGCCTGGGATGGGTCGCTTCGGAGCGCCGTGGTTGCACTATTGAGTGTAGTCACACCGCTTCTACAGGGGGCGCTTCTCGGTCGGGCTCGAATTTCTCGATCGCGATTGGCCGCTTCGCGTGAAGTTCGTAAGAGAGCCGATCGCGGTGGAAAAATCAGATCGCGATCGAAAGTACAGCGTGCCGCCAAGGACGAAAGTGAACCGTTGGACACCGGCGCAAAGAAACGGTTATGCTGTACTGCTGATATAAACCAGAGACTCAAGTTACTGCGTGTAACACTTACATTTCAGCCCTACCTGTTTTACACATTTCATAGAACAACCGTGAAACCAGATTGAGTTAGCACTAAAGCATATGCAATAATGATTGCAAGTGACATCAGGAAAAGATTTGATTTGATTGATTTGTGGGGTTTAACGTCCCAAAACCACCATATGATTATGAGAGATGCCGTAGTGGAGGGCTCCGGCAATTTCGACCACCTGGGGTTCTTTAACGTATCGGGTAAAGATCAGAAAAGGAGACAAGGTCATCAATATTTCATGCAGTAGAGGTTCCGTCATGATATCCCATTGGCCAGACATTTTAATATCAAGAACGTAACTGAAAACGAATACCTAGGACATTTAGCCTGTCGATGACCTTGCCTGGAGCTATGCATATTTCAGCCGTGAAGGAGTGGAGCCTAGTTTTTAAGCCACTAGCTAACTTTGCATAAGCTAAGTGAGAGCTGGCAAGAAAGGGCAGTACCTTGTTGGTATTACTTGTCAACTTCAACCAAGTTTGCTGGATACAAGAGGTTGAGTGGTAACCGCGGTAATTACTCATGCAGATGTGAGCTGCTGAGTTGTTGAAACTACGATGTAATTAAAATTGCTTGTCGGATGGCAGCATGTATTTTTCTGAGTACTCATTAGAAGTTACAGAACCATTTCTGCAGCTGTCAGTTTGAGCTACAACAGTAGCATGAAGGTGGTAGACCGGTATCCTAATTACCTGACACTAGCCACCAAAGGTTGTTAATTAATGCAGTGGGCTCAGCAAATGCTTATACGGTATAATATTTTCATATTAAAGTAAATTGTCCTGTGGCGCGCTCACCGACATCGACACTAGATTGACGTGTGAATGCTGGTGACCTCATGCAGCAGTAGGTGTGACGATGTCGGGTACCAAAACTTGTAAAATAGCCTCTTGCTTGTTACTGAAATGTTCAAAATGGCCACGTGTGCATTGCCATCGGAGCCTCGGTACGTAGTGACTGGAAATTCCACAATATCTTGCGGTAGCACGTGACGAAAAGCTCATACGGCAGTGTGACATCAGAGTACACTAAGAACCAAAAACAGCTTTCAAAAACACTGTAATTACTCTTTCAGAATGCAGTCACGCTTAGTGGTCCACTTTCTTGGCACTCAAGGCTCTGGGCTTTTATTTGATGCACGTAAATGACAACCCAAAATTTCTGTGTCAGTGCCCGTTTAATCCTTTCATCTCAGGTTTGTGTCAAACACTTACACATGCATGAAAGCGTTTCACTCTTCTTTCACTGCCTTACTATGACTTGTAACTATATAGCTCACTTTGCTCAAATCACGCAATGACTGAAAACTTGGGCGTTGGCATCGTTTGTTAATGAAACAAGGAACAGTTTCGTGCTGACAGAACATTAATTGTAAATTTCAGGCTGCGTGATGCGCTGTGCTGTTCAGTTTGCGTGTTCTCAGGAGCCTCGACCGCAATCACCAGCAGTTTCTTACTATGCTGAAGAAGTGCTGTGGGGCCCCTTCAAAAGGACTTGCTTCTCGAATTTCTTTATGTTCGCTGTTCTGAGTCGCTTGTCTGCCTTTGCTATGCATCCAGGAACTGCTGGCAAAACTATGTCGACTTCCACCGCTGCGAAAAAGTGAAGGGCAAGGACTATGAGCCGTGCAAGTACTTCCAGCGAGTCTACAAAGCGCTCTGCCCCAACGCCTGGGTAAGGAGACAACACCTGTTTGTTCCATCTTGGGGGACTCCCACCATTGTTTCCTAAAGTTCATTAGCGGGGACTCTGGCACTGCAATTTTTCAGCCACCATGGAAACTATGGATAGTACACAAATTTGCTTAGCCATCGTGTGCTTGAGTGTTTCGAACCCACTTGTGGCTTTGTTTATTGTTGTGTTTTGGTTTTGCTTTGAGTAAAAAGACTGACCATTCTGAACTCAATGGGTGAGCCTAAAAGGTTGAAGCGTTGAAGTGCGTCTGCTGAAAATTTGCTGATTGTAGTCTGGTGACAAAGTGACTCCAGGCCAGGAAAAGCCAAACGGAGCCGAAAATAATGAAGACAAGACAAATCTGTGTACTACCTATCATTCCCATGCTGACTGAAGCGCCGTGCATTGCAGATCCCATAGACACTAGCGCCAGAGTTCCCTATACTCTACTTGGTGTTTCCCATAATCATATGGTGGTTTTGGGACGTTAAACCTCGCATATCATCCCTCTAGTGTACTTATCGGACAAACTCTATGACCTCCAGAGGCAAGTTGTCAAACTCGCGCAACATAGTTGTCTGTGTCATTCATTGACCCTTTCCCTGAATAGTTTTTTGGTGGAAAATGTTACAAAAATACCAACTCTATGTGGCTTGAAACAACTAACAAAAGAAGGATACATACAAAATATTACTTTTCTTTTTAAGTATGCAGAGGACTTCTCTAGTCTTTAGTGCAGAAAATCTCTTTGAAATAAAAAAAAAGTAACATAGTACGAGGGCCATCGAGTCAGTGAAAGCAAACCTTGGGATGCGGGAGTTGGTTTGCTTCGACCTAATAGTATCCACTACCGACACGTCGAGACTTGGTTGTCGTCCAGATTCGATAATTTAGACCACACTGCAATGTGTAGCCTCTGCCACACCCGCAGGAGAACTGCGATTCATTTTGCGAAACTTTGACTACCAAGTGCATTTTAATTTATAGTCGTGAACGCAGAGCCCTTTCTGGCACCTGCCTTGAGAGAAAGGACATTTTTTAATTCTAGTTACTTGAATCGGGTCCTTCCTTGACTAGAATGCCCACTTTAGCGTGTTAAATTCTTCGCTGCACCATTTGTTGAAGCCGAAAAGGCTGAGAGAAGTGAATTCTGGGCAGCCTAATTGATGTGGCTCCAAAGGCTTTTTTCAGGGTGGGCAAGCCGAGCTAGTCTTCAATAAGAAAAAGTTTAAATGAGTACTGACACAATTTGGAGATCTCAAAAGAAACATTTTTGGTTTCCTTGGCATGCAGTGTCAACGCTCGCCACACGCCAGAGTCGGACAACACGCATAGAATATTTTTATTTTAAATCTTTTGTCGCTGTACGTCTGCAAGCCAGATCCACTGCAGTTGACATTATCCCGACGAGTCAAGACAGTTTATGAGTTTGGAAGCTGTCTCTCCTGCATGTAGCCTTAATAGCAAAAATTGCATGCTCGTCGTCACTTACCTGTACCATGAGCAGATGACAGATTCGCCGTTACTACATCACCAGTTGCTGTCGTCCTGCAATGTGACGCTGATTAATCGGTCACAAGCTCCCACATATGCAGAAACAATCAAGTTACACGAGAACCGCATGTTGACGATTTTGTTGTCTGTGTTCGGAGCTTCTCGTGAGGTTTATCCCTTGCAAACAAACACGCATGTGACACGTTTTTACTCGGCAGTGATTGTGCCTGCAGAGTGCGACACGCCTGCATTGCATGAAAATAGTCGGAACGATAGCGCGCAAGGAGTACGACTTTGAATGAGACAGGGAAAAGTGGCGTGTATGCATGCCTGTGTCACACGAGCGCTCTGGTGTGTCCGTGGCTGCTCTCGAGTTGTGCAAGCACACTTTTCTAGACTGGTTGTGCAACATGTGTGGTCATGGAATGCGAGTCTGTTTCTTAAAGGTGCACTAAAGAGAAACAGTGACCTAATCTGTGGCGTATTCGGTTGGCCACTCTGGCTCGGAGTCACCAGATATATTCTATGCGCATGAGGAACCACAGCTTAGGGTTCATAATTGTAGTTTTGTTTCTTGAGCACCGACCGGGAAATAATTAAGATTTGCGTCGTGGTACTCTCTTGAGGAATATATAAATGCTTGTCTGTTCCTTACTGGGTCTGAAATTGGTTCCTCTCTCATCTCTCATTGCAGATCGAGAAGTGGGATGAGCAGATAGCAAACGACTGCTTTGCCGGCAAGATCTGAAGAGGTCCTTCGGAACATGGGCCTCGTTGTGATGATGTAGAGTTGCAAACTTTCAATAACACAGTTCAGGTGGACCATTGGTGTGTGTGTGCCTTCACTTCAGTCTTTTGAAAGGTTCCTGTTGATGCTGCAATATCTAGAGGAGTAAAAAAAAAAATGCCTGGCGTGTGCTGAACGTGCAGCACACTGTCACAACGAAAGCTGGAAGAGTGACTTTTCAGAGCCTTTTTTAAACACTCTGGGCGACTATCATGCACACTTGCAGGGTACCCACTAGGCCATTAATCATTGTGTAGTGGGCAGGCATTCACTATGCCTTCTTTCGTCATTTTTCGGAGAAACCTGGTACCTGCTCCACACTTCCGAGGAACTTTGTGCAATTTTTTTTCTTTTCGGGCTGTGCTTGATGAGGATGAAGAACTACGGCAGAAGCTTTTGTAATGCCCACAATTCGCTACAGTTGGTATGCACCGCAGTCGATATGTGAACAAGATTGAGCTTTTGTAAACAGTTGGAGCATTCGACGGCCCATTATTTGTGCAATTCACATTATTTGACACCTGATTGTTTCTTTGCTGTTCTAAAACGCTTTATTACTCGATGAGCGCGTTTCCTTTGCCGATATCAAGCCTGCCTAAGGCCAGTTTGCAAAGGCCTTTCAAGTACCGGCATGGCTCACTGGTAGAATACTGGGCTGGCATGCAGGAGACCCTGGTTTGAATCGCATTGTGTCCGTAATGTTTTTTGTTTACCGAGTTTTTCTTATTTCGTGCGATAGTGGTGATGGACACCGGCGGTGGCGGCGAAGGACAACTCCGGCGCGCACGTGAACAGTGTTGCGATCTCGTAACAGCTTTCACTATAAAAAATGGGGTAGAGTGCATTTGCCAGGCAATCTCCGATCATGAAGTTTACCACTATTTCCTCATGAAAAAGGTATATAACTGCTGCATTTTACCAGTGTTTACCTGCACAGCTGAAACCTTAATGCTTGCAAAGATGTTTCGTCTGGAGGCTTCTAAAGAGGGTTCAACTTAGTTAAAGACTCAGCGAGTTATGAAAAGGAAAATGTTAGTGACCTTAAGGGACAAGAGGAGAGTAGGGTGGGTCAGGGAACAGTTGGTCTAAATCAAGAAGAAATGGGGAGGAGCAGGGCATATAGTGCAAATGCGAGACAGATGGTCATGAGGAGTAAAAAACTGTATTCCAAGAGAATGGAAACACGGTATCGGGAGGCGCATAGGTAGGTGGTTAGATGTGATTAAGAAGTTAACGAGTACAACATGACTGCAGCAAGCACAATACCGGCTAGATTTGCAGAGTATAGAGAAGAGGCCTTTGCCCAGCAGTGAGCTCACTCAGGCTCATAAATATATATATTTTTTTGTGGTTGTGACTGTAGTGACGGAGGCAGGCAACAGCGTGGGATACAGTTGGCAGTGGAGCCTACGAGTAGTTAAAATTGTCTTAATGGAATGTCACGACTACACATGAAGGCTTTAAAGCTGAGGGTTTTCACAAACCCTGGAGATGGTCAGTGAAAATGGGTTGCAAGTGGCCATGCATATTGTTACAATTCTTATACCTTAGAGGTCCATCGCAGGACAATGACTCAGCAGAGTATAGTGGCTGAAAGTACAGTGAAGGAGAAAAAAATTCAAGCTGGGCGACATTGAGAAAAGTTTGCTTTGGTAAACGGGATTGATTTTGTGTTCTATTTACTGTGGTTGATTGGGTTTTCTTAGATTACTGGGATTATTAGGTTTTTCGGATAATGTAGTGACGAGTGATCAGGCTTGCCGTTTGTATACTTCTGTGGGCAAATGCTTTGTTTTGTCAGGTTTAAATAGTAGCTCTTGCTCTGCGTACCAACTTGAGCACGGCCTTAAGTGCAAGTTCGTTCACAGTGTAAGCGGCGAGGAATAAATTGAAAACGCATTATTTCCTGCTTGGAGCCCTGCTACGCCATACCGTAGAACACTTGCTGCGAAAATTGTTTTTAGTCAGCTTCGTAGAAGTGCCATTTGTCGCCTCTTTGTGCGCTGTAACTTTGACTGGGGCGGATGACAGAGGTGCAAAGGACTACATTTGCGCGCCTCTGTGGAGCGGTGGTCATCTTGCAACAGCATCGGCCACCGGTTGGAGAGCTTCTGGGTTCGATTCCTGGTGGGCTTCACTCATAGTCGTGCGTAGGGTTTTCCTTCCAGGGGTCCGAAGGTTCGTGCAGTGTCCCTAGCTTTCACTATCATGTCAATGTATGAGGCTGACTTTGCACCCCCCCCCCCCCCTCTGCTAATGTGACTGGGGGGTACATGCTTCCCTCCACCCTATGCGTTTGTTGCATGTATGAGTGCCGTTTAAACCACTTTCTCGTGGGTTTGATCGAAGGAACAGAAGACTGTACGATAGGGTTGTTTCTTTGCTAAACAGCCTAGGAAATCATGGCATTGAAATTTTTGACTGTTCGACAGGAATCGCGACCTGAATGGAAATGGAACGAACACATCGCTGTCGGCAGATCTCTGTTTCTGTCACGTTTTTCTGTAGTTCGCACGCAATGTTAATGCCTAGCTAAGAATTGGGTTGTTTTATAATTGTGGAAAGTATTTGTAACTTTTTTAAGGAGAGAGGGGGGGGGGGGGGCACTTCATTTTTCTTTCTTCGAACGTATTCGCAAGCACGCAAGCTACAGACTCCGACGAGCGCGCCGCCGGCACGTGGCGCCACATCGCGGCGACGGCAGTAAGTGCAAAGCAGACGTACGGAAGCGCCATTTTCGTGCTGAAGTGTGGCCGTGCTCCGTGAAACTGCTTGTGTCCTGAGTAAGCTTGACGAAATGACATTAACAAAGTACCGGTACGCATTTAGAAGCGATTTTAATCAGTTCAAACGCCTAGCAGTGTGTGTTAACGTGTCTAGCTCGCGAGGCGCCCAGAAAATCAGACGAAGTGTGCACCGGCAAGCGCTTCCCCGGTGGGAAAGCAACGGTCGTACTGTGCTCTCGGATCTCTACAAGTGACCGGGTCAGGTGAGTAATTGTTTGACGGGTTATGACGGGTGTAATACTCCGGGTGCCACATCACATGGAAGTAGGAGTGAAAGAAGAGATACAAGCAGAGCACCGTTGGGCCGAAACCAGAAGTACAAAATAAGGTGGCGGGTACACTGGGCAATGTAGCGACACGGGCGAGTTTGTAGAGCAGCATGAAACATCGCGAATACATGAAAAAGAAACTGATATTAGCAGTGGCTGCCTACCAAGTTTTCTCAGTCAACACAGCAGCATATATTGGCCGGTGGCCGACGCCCTAGTCATTTGAATGAGAGTGGTTGCAAAGTCTGCCCAATACTTTGCTTCAATACTTTGTCCCCCCCCCCCCCCTTTCTCTGAAGGGGTACACACGTCTATGCGAACTAGTGACTGTATGCGCGAATTCAGCAAGAACACCGCAAGACAGTTCACGGCGTTAGCGTTTCTTGGCTACAATGTGTTTGTAGCTTCCTAACGTACCTTCGAGAGAAGCGTATGGGTACCTTCGAGACCAGCGTATGACGCAGGAGCAGCGAACACAAATGATAGCGTACACAAAGCTTTGGGAACTCTCAAACCTTTACAAGATCGTTTTCTGACCTGTGCCGTTATTCGTGCCTTTTTTTTTTCTCTTTCTTCTTTCAACGTTTCCGAAGACAGGGACCGGGAACGTTTTTTTGCTACCGATCATGAAACAATGGCGCAGGCAGAAATTTTTTTCGGGTGCAGGGCACCTCCTTGATTTAGGGGGGGGGGGGGGGGGTGGCGTGCCTCTTTGAAATGGTCATTTTTCGCTCTGCCACGGCGAAAACATTTTCGGGGTGGAAGGGGAGGGGGACATTCTTTGAGAGTACTGTATATACTGTACGGAGTTGCGCAGCATAACTTCCCCTTGCGCAGCTGTTCCGCCAGGGGTGGCGCCAGGATGTTTTTACTGGGGGGGCAACCACGAAAAGTGAGTTCCTCCGGGGGGGGGCAAGCTAGCTCTGCTCCTTCTAGGTTTTCAATATATGCTTCCGGGCACTTGGGTGGGCATAGGGGGGGGGGGGGCAGGCGAAAATTTTGGGGGGCTCCAGCCCCCCCCTTGCCTCCCCCCCCTGGCGCTGCCCCTGTGTTCCGCGAGCGGAGTCACGGTGTGCGAAGTGACGTCAAACGTTCAATTTCGCGCGGCGAAGCCGACTTTACGTGCACGACGGCGCACTACCCGCGCCGATTAGTCTTCGTCAGTCTCACGTCGTCGATCATTTCAGCGTGCGTGTGCGTGTCCAGTGTACGCTTTGTTTATGGGCTCCATACCTCGGCGAGGTGTTTTAGAGTACGTCGTGCTGACAGTTGGGCGCAACATACGACTGGGGGTAGTTGACCTACTGCCGGCAGCTATTTGCCATTCATACTATTTATACCATTGGAAAAATAAAATTTCATCGAGAAGCTCTCGTGTCTCTGTCTGTTTTACACCATGAATTGAAATTTTCAATTCAAATTTCCAATCGCATGCTAAGATGACTGCGAAAGCCAGTATGCATTCCCATGAAGATTCGCTGCGATGTTGGTTACGTTCTCAGTTCCCTTATTTCATGCTTGATTCGCTCTTAATTAACTTTTGTTTATTATGTACACTTGGCTAACATGCCTTATTCTCATAATTATCTTATTCTTGTTGATTTGCTTTAATTTTTAATGCATTCGGCACAATTCTAACGGAGTTAGGTATGCCTTAATTGATATTTTGTGTATTACACGACGCATTACGAGTATTGGTAGCACTCGAGTAGTCGCCAAAAGGCGGTCCCTTATTGTGTTCCAAAAAAAAAAAAAAAAAACATATCAAGCTTTCGACATGACTGTTAGAAGTTATACTGCGCGATTCACGTGGACATTTGAAATGAGCTTGAAACTAGTTTTCTGCGGCACTTTTTCGAACAGTGAAGCAGCTGTGAATAATGGTTAATCACTGTTTGTCAGTGGTTGTCATCGTAATCGTACGCGCACTTATATTTTGTCGACGGCCACCGATCAGCTGACAGTGGCGGCCAAAAGGCATTC